GGAATAAAAGGTCTTGTTGGCAGGACGTGGCGGCTGCAGGAGATGCTGTACCATTTGTCGATGCTGGATCGTACCTAAGCAAGCCCGCACTGAAGTTTTGAAAACCTGTAATTATGACGGGATGTGCTTTGATGGCGAGATCTGAAAAGTACAGGTGCTGTCATCAGCTGACTGAGCTAAGGAGTCACTGCTTGGGATAATTGTGTGCGTTGTCAAACCTTCTCCAGGTGTGGGAGGTAACAGACACCCCCGCTCCCCGGCTCCCGCTTTCTGTTCAGGGCAAGTACCCTCTGTCCTTCCTGCTTGGGCTTCTACCGGAAAAGGTGAATCCTGATTGGTCACTATCCATTCTTATGTCATTGGTTTGGGCTTGGACATGTGACTTGCTTCTGGGGAGGGGAGGGGAAGTCTGTTGGAGGGGCCAGGCGACACTAAACTGCTCTGGTAAAGTAGGTATGCACAGGGCTGTCTTGCCATCTCTGCCCGCTACCTGGTGTAACTGTGATGCTTGGGAATATGACGTCAGTCCCTGACACTAAGAGACGCCAGCCTGGGGAGAGGGCAAACGAGGAAGGTTGCTAAGAGCACAAAGGCTAGAAAGATTGGCCCCCAGTGACAGGTGCTTTTGAGCTGTTTTAGTGCTGACTGGTTGCTGGCAGTGTCGCTGCATCTTGTTGGGTTAGCTGAGGTTTTCTGTTGCCTGCCGCCAACCCATCTTCGTGGCTACATGGATAGTTTAGGGTTAAAACAAAACAACAGCCAAGGTTATATCATGACCATGCCTCTGGTTGTGTCCAGAAGTGACAGTGAACCCGGTCAGTAATGAGTGTTTTGCCTCACACCTGGTGTCTAGTCATCAAAGTCCCCAGAGGGGAGTCCCTTGTAGTGCCAATGGTGGGATATTTGACTGCCTTCTTTAACAGAAGTAAAGTAACATGGCTTTAAGAGGTTATGAAATTGAGGGAGTTGGGAAGAGACTAGGAGACTTTTAAAACAACTTGAGCTGATAAGAAATCAAGAAAATGGGTAGCTTTGCCCCTGGGGATCACCTAGGGTTCTCTTTATGTGCTAGGAAGCTGTGTCTTATCCACAGGCAAAAATGATTCATCATCATCCTGGGGTTTGGAGCCAGCGAAGGTGTGGGGGAAGATGGTTCAGGCTGGGTTGGGGCCAGCAGCCTGCTTTTGACTAGGAATTATCAGACTCTGCTCACTCAAAGGTCACTGCAGAAGTGGGTGGAGTACCTGCTTACAGTACCTGCAAAGGAGTTGGAAAACGTTCTCTCTGGCCATGTGTCCCGTTAAGCCCAAAGAAGTCTGATCATAAGGGGTACAGTTAGAGGCCGCTGTCACATAGTATGTCTGCTGTGGTGCACAGGAAGGACACAGGACACAAGGGCAGAGTGTTGGGGACACTCTGAATGTGAAGGGGGGAGGGGCTCATAGATCAAGTTCTTTGAGCACTCTGGGCCTTGTGCCAATTTCACTCTGCCCTGGCTGTGAGCCGGGTGACATGTAACACCTCCTCAGACTCTGACTTCCTTTCCCAGTGGGCAGTCTCTTGCTAGGGACAGGGGAGGGTGGACAGAGGTAAGGAGGGAGCAGAACAGTATCTCATGTGAGCAGCAGGGCACCAAACCATCTGAGAGCCACGGGGCTGGCACATAGCAGCAGCTCTGCTTTCCTGTCTTTTATGCCCTTCACAACCCAGGGCTCCATTTCTTCATGGGGAAAACCATGGCTCATGAAGGCTTGAAACAGTGCTCTAGACATAGGCACCTGGCCCTGAGTCCCGACTAGGAAGAGACTAAATGAGGTGGCGTTTAAGAGTATTGCCAGATCATTGCACTGTGTGGTGACCTGTTTTTTCGAGTTCCAATCGCAAATGCACCTCTTCCAGGGAGCCCAACCACTTTCTCCTAGTCTGGGCATGATCAACCTCGGTGCTCTCTCCTTCCCTGGAGGTTCTGGTTTCCTGTGGCCTAATGTTTGGCTACTCATTACTTGACTAGTTAGACTTGCTTTAAAATTTTTTTTAAATAAACTCACTTTATTGTACTGAACTCACAAGTAAAACCATCACACATCCAGATTAGACACTCGAGCAAGCCCTTACCCCGTGCCACACACGGCGATCTCCATGAACTTCTCTACAGTTAGAATGACCCTCCTGAAGTCCTGGGCTTCACTTAGTGTTCTATGCTTTGATTATCAATGCCATTTTCATGCACTTACTCGGCACAAAGGAAAGCTATGGCAGAATGGAAGCTGGAACGATTAGCTTTATATCCTCTTTTGTGGCTCCCGTGTCCCTTTGTCTGCATTCCCGCTCCTTCTCTAAAAAGCTGGTTTTGTTTTCCCGCATCATCTAGCACAGTCACGCTATGGTCCTCGAGGATCCACCACCGGCTTCAGCAGTGTTTTGCCAGCCTCCTTACCCCCCTCAAGCCCCAGAAGGTTTGTTGTTGTGTTTGTTTGTTTTTGAGATTTTTTTCAAGTGTATGGGTGTTTTGATGTATGTACTACATGCAAGGCAGTACCTGCAGAACCCAGAGGAGGGTATTAGATCTCCTGGTTGTGAGCTGCCATGTGGGTGCTGGGAATTGAACTCAGGTCCTCTGGGACAGCAGTACCGAGCCATCTCTCCAGCCCCACCCCCTGAGAATTTTGACAATTCCTGATCCTTTCTTCTGTAAGTCTGTGGTGCATTTCAACTCTGAGTTTCAAGATGCCTCCTTTTACTCCCCAAAAGTACTCTCTGTCCTATGCCTGAGGTCATTTTCACTTAGAACAGCACCTGTAGATGTCAGGAAATACTCCCATCTTGAAATATATTGAATGTGCCTGTGCCTGTGTGTGTGTGTGTGTGTGTGTGTGTGTGTGTGAGTGTGTGTGTGTGTGTGTGAGCCAGTGAATGAGTTGGCTTCCACTTTAGAAGCAAGCTTACAAATTAGCAGGAGAGCTCTGGACCCAGACTAACTGCCGTGAGCTCTGAGCACCCCATTCCAACACTGCATTCCAGTCTGTTCTCCCCAGCTTTCCTGGTGGCTCTAGAATTCATCCATCTTCATCTGTCTCCAAGGCTGATTTATTCTTAGCCAGGCAGCTTTGATTTTGCAATTAAACTCCTCTCAGAGGCGACTTAGAAGGAGGACTCTCAGACACGGCCTTAACCTGTGCTTTACAATTACATGATTGTTTTTTTAATCTTTACTTAGGTCAAATGATTATGTTTTTACTTGGGCCAAAATGATTATGACTGAAACAAATCAGAGTATGTACTCTATCTCAAGTATTTTCCGTATTTAATTCTATCTTTCTATTCCTAGTAACAGTACTTTAGCTACACATATGGAAGATAATTGAATGCATATTTTCTTTCAAGTAGCCATGGTCACATTTAAAATCCTAAATTCTGTATGCTTTGCAGGGGAAACCAGAGCCTGTTGCCTGATGTGGCATTGTTGGTTTTTACAAGGTAAAAAATAGTTCAGGGCTCGGTTCTGGAAGCCTCTGATGATGGAAGAGTAGTTTGGAAAAATGCCTTTGACGTGTTTCTTTCCCTTTTAATTTAGGAGCGGTAGTTACTGTAGTGTAAGGGGATCTGCTTATTATCTTGTGCTGTTTCAACTCTGCATTTTTCCTTTGCTGTTCAGATTTATGGTTAAGTCAAAGGGATTTAGCAGGACTTTCCTGTTTGTGTAATCAGAAATTCAATGTAATAATTCTGGGTTTGAGGTATTTTTAACCAGGGACTAGAGCCATGCCCAGCCGACACCGCATAACAGGTACTGCTATCTTACGTTTAGCGGGAACATGGAGTGGTTGTTTCCACAGGGATATTTTAGGGAGTTGGGTTTGGTTATGATGCATCTTAGACCAAGAACATCTTTTCCATGGAAGGTGATGGGACCTGAGAGATGTTGGGGAGTAGGAAATGAGAGAGCTGCAATCCCTCACCCAGGCAGCACAGCAGTGAGCCGCCCCGTGGATTTGATTCTCTGTGTTGTGAGTAGCAGGCTGTGGGACTTCCTTCTAGGCTTAGAACCCTGGCGAGGCCTATTGTGACCTGTGTGAGTGTGGTGGGGTGTCTGAGGAGCTGCAGTAGCCCCAGCGGTAGGCACAGAGCTCCTTGTGGAGGCACATGCATGAAAATGGCAGGAAGGAAACCCAAGAACAGTGTGACCTACCAAGTGTTTCTCCCAGCCTCTTTCTTGGCTGGCATAGCCAAAGGGGAAGAGAGCTCTGGATAATCCAGGCTGTATCCCGGACTACAGAGCCATATTTGGCAGTCTTTGAAGTTTTGCTGTAGGAACGTACAAGCTAAGGCATATGTTCCCGGATGGAAACCCTTGGGCAGGGCTGGACATAGCAACTGTGCTGCTGAAGTCTCAGCACGGGAGAGGAGCCGTGAATGTGGCTACAGATTTGGCTGCCTGCCCTGAGGCTAGGGATGCGGGCCAGTGACTAGGGAAGCGTCCAGTGGCCAGGGTTTTGAGAAGAAAGCACAGTGTAAAGCAGGAATGACAGTTCTGGAGAAAGTGAATCTTTGGGTGTAGGTAGGCATGGCGTCTGTGTAACTCCACCGGAGCCGGAGAGTCAGGCTTAGCGCATCTCTGCCGTCTGCCGGCTGCTCTGCCTCCTGCAGAGTGTTCATTCCTGACCGTGTCTCCTCGCCCATGTTCTTATCCTCAGGCTCTAAGAAGTCATGATCTCACTACTCAGAGGAACAAAGCTGGTCTTATGTCTGGAGAGTGTGTGTGTGGAAAATAAGAAGCAGAGCTGGGAATGGCGCATAGATCCATGGGCATCTGCAGCCTCCCATCCTTCCCACTAGATTAGGGCTCCCTTCCACTGAAGGAGGGTCCCCAGTAGGGAACACCTACAGTGGCAGAACTGTGCCGCTGCCGTTTCCCATTGGCAAGCACACACTGACCCTTTGTAAACCATTGTTTTCAAATCCCTGCAGATTTGGGGTTCTGTCAACATTCTTTAGTCATCTTAAAAACTAAGAGCAAAGCATGGTCTCCATCCCCATGTCTTCTACTGAAGTGAACTCCGGAAAATGAAGTGGACCCCGGAAGATGAGTCTACTTCACCGTTTAGTCACTCTCAAGCTGGGCTGTGTGCGGATCTTGAAAGTGTGACCCAGTATAGATGGAACCAACAAAACTTTAGCTTCCCTGGAGGTAGGGCACAGAAACCTGGAGGGAGTAGAGGAGAAACGGGGAACGTTCCCATTGGAAAGTCAGGACAGGCTGAAATGACAGCCGTCCAGAGATTAGAAGCTGCAAGGTGGTTACATGAGCTCAGCCATCTGGTTAACCCAACATACCCTCTGCTTTACATCTGAGTCTAAATGCAGTCCCTTTCTTCAAAAGTCATCAGCCTGCTGAGGAGTGTGGATCAGACGGAGGATGGCATTGTGGGGTGCAGATCGTGCTTTTTGGTAAAGATGCAAGACCTTTTTTCTCGTTTCTGTCAGCTAACTTTTGCTTTGTATCAAGTTCTCAAAACTTACTGGCTTAAAACAGCAGTGATTATATTTGTGTGTGAGTTTGTGGACTGGCCCTGAGTTTCCTCTGGTCTGGACTGATTCCACTGATAGAAGTCTCCAGGCTTGGCTGAGCTGGGAGGTCTAGGGTACCCTCATTCATGTATAATGATTGGCAGGCTGGTTGTTTGGAGAGAGCCTCAGTAGGGGCTGGTTTTTGGTGGATCCACGTGGTTTCTCATCCTCCAGCAGACAAGCCTGTAAGTCCTCTCATAGCTCAGCTCCAGTGCATTCCGAGCCCCTACATGCAGCGCATCTGCTGTTTTCCCATTAGTCAAAACAAATCTCTTGGCTAAATCAGGAGTCAGTTTGATATCAGTCCATGGATACAGAAAAGGTGTGAATTGGAAGCCGTTACTGCTAAGAAACGCATCATGCTGGGAACCTAGAGTTAGTGCAGCAAGTAACAGTTGTCACTACCTGACGCCCACCTGAAGACAGCTCTGAGCCATGCTGCAGTGAACCCCTTAGGAAGAGTCCGTGTCAAGGAAAACTGCAGGATCTGTGCAGCGGCAGCTCTAGTAGCCTCTTCTGGGAAATCCACCAAGGGACTGGAGGCAGAAAGTTAATGAAGGGACAGATGGAACCCAGCCGCCAAAGCATGCCATTGCCTCCTACGTGCAACCAAAAGGCAGGTCTAGGCTGGGAGGTCCTGGAGCAAGAGGTGCCATCTGGACCCAAGAATCAAGGACAGTTTCCCTGGGCCAGCACAGGCTCAGGGTGAGAGACTGAAGACCAGATTTGAAGTGGAGCTGCAGAGGGAGTGATGAGGATAAGAACATGAAGATGTTGAGTATTCACCTGTCCAACAGGAACCAAACCAAGAGTTGGGAAGCTCCATCCTAAACTGAGTTTCCCTAGAGGAGGGAATCTATGTGAGTTGGCGAGATGGCTGCAGCAACCAATTTCTCTAGACTGTCTCTTGCATGCCAGGGATTGTACTTAGCTTGCCCTTAGTTTGGTCCACACAATACCCTGAGGCAATTAGTCCCAGTTTCCAGATGAGAAACTGCCTCAGGGAGGTTAAGTAATTGGCATCAGTCACCAAGCTTGTTATGTGTCTGACCCCACAGCACCGAGCCCTTTCTCTGCATCAGGCTGCTGCTGCTCGTGCAGAAGACAGAAAATCAGTAGGCAGCCAAGTCTGTAGGACCCTTCTAACAGTAGAGCTTGGGAAGACCCCCTCCCCAGTGCTGCCTCCCAGGCAGAAGCTCTAGAGGATGGCCATGTAGAGGAGCAGAATGCTCAAAGATGGCATCAGACACAAAAGTAGGTGGCAGAAGAAACTATGAAGAAAAACCCCAGTTCACTTGATCGTACAAAGATGCCAAAATTTTCTCTAAACCTATCTTCCCATTCCACAATCTTTATTTGCACCCCTCCCTTCCCCCAGGTGAAAGGATCACCATGGCTTGAGTGGAGTTGCCTTATTTTCCAGGAGAATGAAGCAAGCAGATTATAAATTTGAGGCCAGCCTGGGCTACATGGATATATCATTTTTCAAACAAAACAAAACCCCTCAGAATCAGTGTATTAGATAATTGATAGAATGTAGACTGTTTAGTCACAAACAAACACGCAGAGGCTTATATTAATTATAAACAGTTTGGCCAATGGCTCAGGCTTCTATTGACTAGCTCTCTCTCAATTATTAACCCATTTCTATTAAACTATGTATTGCCATGAGGCTGTGGCTTACCCATAATGCTCCAGTATGTTGCTTCTTTGTCAGCTTCATGCTGTCTCTCTCTAGCAACTCACTCTCTATGTTCCTCTTCCCAGTATTCTCCTAGTATGGTAGCCCCGCTTATTCTTCCTGTCTGGCTATCCTGCCTGTTCATTGGCCAAAACATCTTTATTTGTCAGCCAATAAGAGAAACATATATTCACAGCATACAGAAAGACATCCCCCATCAATAGAATAAACCCAGTCAGGAAAGACTAGGCAATAAGGGGCTCTGAGACCAATGGCCATGGAAAGAAGGCAGCTATAGAAGTTCTGACCTACTGAGAGTGAACTTGGCCTGTGTTATCAACACGCTTTGGCTAGAATCAGTGTGTAGATGTTGCAGGAGACACTGTGACCCACAAGAGAGAACTCTAGAGCCACAGACACCTCACCTCACACCCTGGCACCACTGAGTAGCTTCTCACTCATGAGCTTCAGTTTCCTGTCTGTACATCAGAAATGCACATACCAACCTAGCAGTGTGTGAGCAAGGTGACAGTTGGGGCACATGTGGCACCTGTTTGCACTGTGCTCAGTGAATAGAAACCTCTGGAAATGGAAGGCTGTGAGCAGTGAGGAGTCCCAGGTACCTGGAAGAATGGAATGAAGGTTGGCTGCTGCCTAGCAAGGGGGTGGTTCTCACAGAGGAGGGGTGCTGATGGTTCACTCTGCTGTGAGGTGATAGTATGTTTTCATTCGTCTTTTAGAAAAAGCCCCACCCCCTGTAAACAGAATTCTGACAGGTCCCTTCCTGAAGGAGGGGTGCAGGACTGTGGGGAGAGGATGAGAACAAGGGGTGTAGACTCTGACTCCTGACTTACTCCAGCAGACACACTTGTTCACAAAGTAGATTATTGAAACAGTCCATGTGCCATGCACCTACCTCACCCTGGTGAGCAGTTCGGTGGCCCCTGGTACATTGAGTTGTGCCATCTGCACGTTATCAGCTGAACTTCTCCCTGATTTTGTCTATCCAGGCTCTGTGGAGATTGGATTTGAAGTGGGTAAAGACTCGGGTTTGTAACAGCTGGTATAATCTTACTTTATAATCTTTGTTTGTTTTGTGTTTTTCAAGACAGGGTTTTTCCATGTATCTCTGGCTGTCCTGGAACTCACTCTGTAGACCAGACTGGCCTCGAACTCATAGAGATCTGCCCACCTCTGCCTCCTGAGTGCTGGGATTAAAGGCGTGTGCTGCTGCCACTACCATGTGGCTTATTGTTATAATCTTAGGAATGTTTTCTTTGGAAAATATGGTTTCCAAATTCTACTTAAAACCCCAGTGAGAACCAGGGAATAAACCCAATATGCTGGAGGCCCGAGTTCAATTCCCAGGACCCATGTAAAAATGAAAGGAAAGAACTAACCTCACAAAGTTGTTCTTTGTCCCTCACAAATGCACTATGGCATGTACACGCCCCCCCCCACACAAATAATAAACAAAACTCATATGTAAGACTTACAGAATAAAATCACAGTAAAATTAAGGATCTTACTCAATATTTAAAAAGCAGAAGTTCTGTTGCACCATCCTGATGTTTAAAGAAATTAGATGAGGGAGTGGGATCTGCAGGAAGATCCAAAGCCATAGCTGAGAGTCTCAACGGTCTGGAGTGGGCCATTCCTCTGACTGACTGATGGTGCTGTTTGTATAGAAGCAATCAGCATCCCCAAAGCAGAACTGTGGGACACATTGCAATGGCTGATGCCCAAATTATGATGCAAGGTCAAAGTCATCTTGGCAGATGGTCCACCAGAAAGTTGAAGTTTTAAAGGTTTGAGGTCACAATGGGATGAGCTGGTGCAGGGTTTGTTGTCTGTGGCACTGTGCGTGCTCGATGAACATTATTTGCACTTCCCTCTGGCATCCATGTCTCCAGCGCCTGCTGACAGCAGGTAAGGGGAGAACTAGTGAACTCTTTTCACTTGGCAGAGTGTTCTCACTTGGCCTTCTCTGGGGGGCAAAGACTTCCAGAGCAAGTGGTTGTTCTGGGATCCATGCCTCTCCACCAGGGGACGGGCTAACCGGATTACTTCCAGGCTTTCTCTTTCTCCCTGAACATTTGTTCCTTGCCTTTGTTTTCTCCGCAGGACGGGTTCCGGGTTGGAGGTGAAACCATGAAGAGAAAGTAGAACAGATAATAATGCTTTACCGCAATCGCTTCTTGATGCTGCTGGCCCTAGCTGGGCTGCTGGCCTTCCTGAGCCTCAGCCTGCAGTTCTGTGAGTACAGAGGGGACTTGAGGGCTCAGGAGGGTAGCCGGCTTCACTGGGAAGCTAAGAGCCTGGGTTTGTGGGCAACGAGGAAGCCCCAGGGCTTTTTTTATTATCGTGGTGAATGGTTGCAAGCAGGAGTCCGAAACTGGTATCTTTCCTTTCTTTGAGTCCAGGTCTCACACTGTGTCCCAACTAGTCTCAAACGAGTGATCCCGTACCACACACTCACACGCAGCCTCACGGTGTATTCTTAGAACTTGTATACATACATTCCTAAACTGGTTGCTTATTCTCATTAGCACCCATCCCCAAGGGACAGAGGGACCATCTTGATTTCGCATGCTGAGCAGAGGCCTTTGAGCCTGGGTTCCCTGAGGACCAAATGGCTGTTTCATGTTCAGTCACTGGTGGGGCTGGAGTAGCTCAGGAGAGCGTGGGGAAATTAGGCTGCTGGTATGAAACCTGGTCCCTGGGTGGCAGAGGCTGCTCGTGGGAGGTCCCAGGTAGCAAAGTAAGGACTCTGGTGAAGCTCATCTGTGGGCCTCCCCATCCATCACCCTCCCCTGGATCCTTATGCTCACACTGTACCCCAAATCTGTGCTCCCCACACTTGCCGTGAGAGGGGCTATCCTGGAATTCAAATTATGCCTCTGTTTCTCATTGATTGCTTCTCTTCAGTGGTGGCTTACGCTCCCCTGTGTCCTCCCTCTGCTTGTTCTTCTCCAGTGACCCAGCCTTTCTCGGTGCTCACCCCGCCACCCGACGTGGGCCAGCTCTTACCCCTCTTCCTTCCACCCTTCCAGCCCTCGCCTCCTCTCCTCTAGATTCCCTCATTGCTTCCAAGGGTGTGGCACCTCTCTGATATACATCAGGATTTCCTGAGCCAGCTCCCTTTCACTGCCATGAACCTTCACTGGACCCTTTTCCCTGTATCTCAGGACCCCTGTGCCCAGGGCAGAGTGGGTGTCTCTTGAACATCTATTGAATGAATGAGCTATGACTACTCTGGAAGCATTTCCCTTTCCTTTGGATTCTGTGTCCTGGAAACTGAGGAGGCACTGGTTTGATGCTGAGAACTGTGTTTGCTGTCACCTGGCTTCTCTGTTTTACCACCTCACCCTGATGGGTGGGTGTCATCCCCAGGAGCTCTGTGGGGAGGTGGCATCTCTGTTTTCGCTTTGAGTGGCAGAAACAGGAACAGGTGGCTCAGTGAGTGGGTTGTGGTGAGTGCCGAGGAATGTGGGAGACTTGGCATCAGGAGTGGGCAGATCAGTGAAAGAAAGCTCTGAGCAGGCTCGCCTGATTTACCTCAGGGTGGTACAAGCTTACCTCTGTGCACGTGACAGGCTAGTCTAACAGCGAAGAGGCTTAAAAATACTCACTTCATTCTTCCAGTATTGGAAGTGGTCAAAAGAAGGTGACCATAGACGTACAAAAATATTCCAGATGACTAATGACCTGCAAAAATAGAAACCCTTTCCAAAAAGGGGGCTTGGCTTTCAGTGGTTTTGTTGTTTGTCGTTTTTCATTGGAAATTTTCCACCGTTCAGTGGAGGAGGAGGGACCTGCAATCAGCCTGGAGTTTTATCCTGAGCCCTGGTGGGTTGTGAGAGTAAATGTGGCTCGCTTGTGTTCCCCAGGCCTCTCTCCCATGAGTGGCCTGTGTGGCACTGAATGGCCCTGTGTGTCTTACTTGTAGAGTGCTTCTGAATGTTCGTCTGTGTTAGGAGGGCTGCTTTTCAGCCACACTTTTTAAAGGAAAATTTTGCAGAATAAATTGGCCTGACTGGACCCGAGCTCTTTATTCTGGAGTACTTTGCAGATCAGAAAGCTTAAGAAATGGACGTCCGTGCTGCCTTTCTCCTCCTAGGTAAAGTGCAACTTTGGAACCCACCTGTTTCTGTAGAAATGATACTTAGTTGCTCTACTTATTTGATTGCTTTATTGATTGCTAATTATTATAGTGTAAGAAACTTTATTGATTCACAGAGCAAAGATTGACGTATGCTTTTACTCTTACCCTAAAACATACATACTTTTTCTCTATTGTTCACTTTGACAAATTTTTTGAATACCATGTTAGCAGCATTATTATTTGAGACAATATAGTTGAGGTTATCAACTATATTTATTTGTGTGCTTTATGTGAAAAGTATGGTTTCATTTTCTGAAACTACTGTGTATCTTATGACATCTTGTAGATAGATCCATTTTCTTGTTGGTATTTTGGATATGGAAACATTTTGATGAAGGTTAGGATGGAGAAATGGAATTGCTTAAACCAGCGTGTCTTCCTGTGGGCAGAGTACATGAGGGGTGGAGCCGCATGCATGTGTTAAATGCTTGGTGTGTTCAGCATTGTGGAGGTGGGGGGAGGGCCCAGACAGCATAAGGTACCGTTCATAGCTTCTCAACACGTTCATCTTCAATAACACTAGTGACTGCGTGTGCTGAAGGCCCTTGATGAAGTTATTTTTTAATATATTTTCAGTTCCTTAATGTTGAAATGTGTACAGTGGAAAAATAACTTCTTAAACTCAAGGATCTTTGTTAGGGCGTGGAAAGATTGTTAGCATCTAAAGACATCTGAATCATCCATTTCTGCTTTTTCTGCCCAGTTATACTCACCCACTTTCCTCTGCAGCATTTCTTCAGTGTGTATTTTGTGCTCGCTCCTCCATGCTCTCACCAGCATTCCCCAAATGGTGGTGTGACAGGCACACACGGGCTCTGAAACTGTGGCCCTGATTTGAATGTTAGCTTCCTCATTAAGCTGCTGGCTACTCTGCACCTTCCTTCAAAAGACAGTTAATCATCATAATTTTGCAAGGTCGGCGTGAAGATAGACACTTGTGGAAACCCCTGAGCTAGTACAAGCCTCTTCGTTACCTAGTGCTCCTTTGCAAAGTTGGTGCAAGAATGTAGACTTTTGGGAAGCCCCTGGCCCAGGCAGCTTCTGTAAAATGGAGCTGATTATTAAGGTTTTGCAAGATTGGTTGAGAGCTGAGAGCTTTTGGGAAAACCCTTGGCCCACAGAAGCGCACTGACCGTAAGTCTGTAAGCAAACCAGAGCCCCACCAGAGTGCACTCATGGCATTCTGGCATCCCAGAAGGTGGTCAGAGCGTATGTTACTTCACCTATTTGGTGAAAGAAAGCTTGCCATTTGCCATCCATTTATTTGCTTTTAATCAGAGTATACTGGCTGACAGTTCATCTACATGGTGCTTATGGCACTCTTTGGGCAGGCATCCTCTTGGGCGGACCCTCAGTTGACCACAGCAGAGTTCATTTGCAGTAGGGAAAGCTAGTGTCCTTTGTGCATGAGGCGTTGGCCTGTTCTGTGTGACCCACATGGACACATGCGTTAGGCATGAAGTGGAGTGTCTGAGGATTTGGTGTCACATCAAAGTGGCATGGGTGGTGTGCTCTCCCCACAGGAGATGCATACTCTGGAAGGTCTCTCTCTAAGAAGGACAGTGTCAGGCAGGTTATTGAACCCAAGCACGTTTTGTATCTTTAAACTCTGAACTCTAAAGTTTTATTATTTTTATCTTTCCTTATAGATCCAGTGCTAGGAGTATGTGTGGCTTTGTTCTTTAGCTACTGTTCTTGAGTTGTCACTGGGCTGGGAGTTCAGCCCCTCTACAGCCACGGGCCCCTCTCTGACCACTGGAGGTATGTCAGGAACAGAGACTTGCATTGCGGTGGGGTGCTGGGCAGGCAATGGTGGGGCGTGGTGGCGAGACTAGAGCATGGACTCTGAAGCCTGACCACAAACCGAATCCCATCCTGCCACCAGCCAGCTTTCTGACTTAGAGAAGCTGTTTGCCTTCTCCGTGCCTCCGTTTCCTCTCGGTAAAGTGGAGGTCATGATGGATAGAGTTGGTAAAGGAGTCTGTAACATGTGGTTCAGTGCCTGTCACACAGTAATCCTAAGGCATGTTAAGAGAATTAAGATCATGCATGTATGGCAGGGTGGCATGGCAGGATAGAAGAGAAGAACCCAGTCCAGTCTGGGGAGTCAGGGGACATCTGAGGTCATGCTTGAGGGACAGTAGGACAGGGGACATCTGAGGTCATGCTTGAGGGACAGCAGGACAGGGGACATCTGAGGTCATGCTTGAGGGACAGTAGGACAGGGGACATCTGAGGTCATGCTTGAGGGACAGTAGGACAGGGAGGACACTAGAGAAGGGTGTCCTTGGCAGATGGAGGCTGCGCAGAGGCAGACCAAGAGGGAGCCCAGGAGCAGAGACACCACCATGCAATTAGCATATTGGAGAGTGCAGAGCCTGCTTCTGTTTTCTCCAGAATGGGAACATCTGAGCGCTAGGGCCAGCAGTGCCTTGGGATCTTGTTGAAAATGCACATTTCCTGAATAAGCAAACAAAAAATGTTTGCTACAGAATCTGACTCCTCG